CCCCAAAACCCCAAAACCCCAAAACCCCATTTATTTAATTTTGTGATAAAATTTAAATTGATAAAGTCAAATTTTTATTATTTATCTTGAGAAGTTATTACAGTAGCCATTAATTTCATTTAGCCTCAAAGGTGAATTTTTCTTGCCTTACATCATTAGATGCTCCAGTTTAAACAGATGTACGTCTATCGGATATTGATTGACCATTATTATGATGGATTTAAAGGTTTGGTTATATTTCAGCATTGTATCTATGAATCTACTCGTTCAATTAGGGAGCATAATTTTAAAATTTATTGTCATTTGCTTGATTCTGCATATAGTACTATTGCTATTGTTAGTAATACTAAGGTTGTTGCTGCTGATAGCTGGCATTAGCTCCTTCAAGATAATTTTGCTTGTATTAGAATACCATATTCTTTTGATTTTCTATTTTTTTAATTGAGTTCATTTCTGAAATGGAGTGCGACTAGTCATTAGAGAAGTGACTAGAGTTATCTGAAAGTGATTCATCATCATCTTCTGAGCTTGATGATGTATCAACTTTGTTTGTTTTTAATTTTGTAATAATTTATCTTTGTGGTGATACACCCGCAGAAGAAGTGATCAACGAATTATTACTAGAAGGAGAGGTTACTGAATCATTTTGAATTTAATGTAGACCAGCATGCTTCATTTGAATATTTTAGCCTACATATTATGGGATATTTGAATTCATTTGAAATTAAGGCACATTTTTTATCTATTATGACTAAGGTGTTAAGTTATTAGTTTGATATTAAGCTTTCGACAGGTATTAATGATTAATAGGCTGTTCTATATTATTTTAGGAGGTATTATTTGGCTTTGTTAGATAAGCATCAATCAAAGACTCATCATGAGACATATCCTATCCAGCTAATTACTTTCTAGAGTCCTATTAAAACATACCTCTAATGTCCTCAGTTTAAGAATAATTTGATAATGAACTCGATGATAAATCATGATCTTTATCTTCACTCATTACTTGTTCTGAAGAATTTCCTTTAAGAATTTAAGTAAAGCCTACTTGACTTTGATTTTCGTAATAATTATACTTGCTTGTGTAGGCATTAGGGTTATCACTCATTGGAGATTAGAAATTTTTCTAAAACTATTATACTCCTCTATTTTCTTACTCGTGTTTTTGTTCACTCATTATATTATTTGGCAATTTCATATTTGAATAATCTTGCTGATACTAGTATTGATTTTAAGTATTTTAATTAGGCACATAATTGAATGGCTAAGAAACTGTAGCTCTATGTTTTTATTCATAGTTAGGCGGTAGATCTCTTTATTATATTTGCCTTTATTCCTATTACTATTGATTAGCAAAATTATTAAAGCCATGCTAGTGAATTTGTCCTCTTGAATTTGCTGATTCTTGAATATTTTGAAAATTTTTATCTATTTTCTGATTCTTATTGTAGTTATCAATTTTTGGAGTACTATCTTTGCTAACTATTGAGTACATCATTTCTTTAGAAATATTAATCATAGGCTTGTTTGTATTTTATGCAAACTGCTAAATATTTTGTGTGCTTGTACCACTCATCATCATCTTGGAATCCTCCTCTGGAACTTGCTCTAGATTATTTTGTATTTGTCCAAAGTAGGTATTTTGATTCATAATTCCAGATAGTCCTTGATTATCAATTTCTCCTCGATAATGATGATAATTTTCAGGGAAAACATCAGATCTGAACATAGCATTAACATCTGAGTTCATTGTGTTATTATTTAGGTTATTAAGGATGACGGTCATTCCACCATTAGAAGGTGCTATTTAATGATTGGTACTCTGCATTTTTTAATCACTATATTAATAGACCTCAACTCCTTTGGTGTGATTAAGTTTATTATTGTTAGTTGAGCTCCCTTAGAATCTTTATCCATCTAAAACAGGCTAATGAGGATCAATATAACTGTCATCTTGCATGTAAGAGAATGGATTTTAATTATAGTAAGTTGAAAATTGGTATCTTTATTGATACCCATAACCATTTTAATCACCACTATTTGAGTTTACAGTTTGATTATTATTGTTAGTTGTATTTTGTGATCTCATTTGGTTATAGCTCTAAGTATTTTTAGATCCAGTAATCTAGAGAGTTTGGGTACTAGGGACTTGGTATTGATAGGATGGATGATTTTTTCTAGATCTTGGTGAAGGATTATCATGATCTTCAGAGAATTAAGTCATCAAAGGTGAGTTTAAGAAACCCTCAGCTATCTCTCCGATATTAGGATGCTTAAGATGATGTGTTTCATGTGATGGGCCACCTTAAATCGTTGAAAGTACTCTTGTATCATTAGTACCTTGGTTTCTATTATAAAATTAGTGACTTTGATTTTAAGTAGTATTTTAGTAGGATTATTGCTGGTAATAGAAGTTCTGTTGTTGATAGGGATCATAAGAAGCATTGGTATCAGTCATTTATCTTGGATAATTTAAATTTTAACTTATAGTCTACTCTTGCCTTTTCTCCTTAACATAGATTTATACTTGTGGCTCTCTTGTATCTCTGTTACTTTCTTAAGTATTTTAGGTTTAAAATTTATCATATTTAACTTTATCTCTGATTTTTGATTCTACATTTTTAAGATACGAAGGTACGACTGGTTATTTCTATTTTTTCTCCTGCTGGTTGGCCCTATTGTTTTAATGCATGAATTATCTTCTACTTCCTTATCTCTAATTTTTAAGTTGCTTTACTTGATTTTAAACTTAAACCTTTTTCTATTTCTAGATATTCTGCTGTGGCTATGCTTTTGATCTAGGAGGGGAATGCTACATTATAACTTCATCCTCCTAATGATATTTGCAGTTAGGTCCCTAATTTTCCTTATTTTAAGGTTTGATAATTTAAGGTGCTTAAATTCTCTCTCTAATTTCATTTAGTTTATGTTAATTGTGGTAGAATGTTTATGTTGGAGGAGGTGATAAGCTATTCTCTTTTTTATTTCTATTTTAAACGTCTGATTCATTTTATTTTTTAGTCTGCTGATTAACCAATAACTATTACTAATTTTATTTTTCTTTGAACATTTTATCTAGTTTAGCTGCAGCTTCTTTTGCTTCTTATAATCTTCTATCAAGGGAATAGTTATCATCATTTCTATACTTTCTCCTCATTATAATATCATTAATGCTATCATCTTAATTCTAGCTTTGTTCTTTTACTTCTATTGGTTGTTACTAGTCAAATCTCTTTGCATTTTTATGCTTTATCTCTTAAAATGTCTCTTCTTATTAACCCCACCATTCTGGGTAAATTAGTGGATTTAGAGAGCGAGATCTTTTTTAAGCTTAGCCAAGATTATTTAAATCTTCACTTAATATTCTATTCTGAAGTCTCTACCCATTTCTTTGGAATTTAGATATCTATGGTTCTCTCCAGTTTGAGGAAGGCTTAATTTATTTTTTATCTTAAACTAAGGAAAATATAATTAAATCATGAGATAATCTTACATCTTGCTGTAATTGTACCCTCAGTAGGTTAAACACTTGAAGATCTCTAAGTCCAGAATATATCTGAATTTTAGTCTCTTCTCCTAACAATGTTTTAGAAGCTATTTTTGAACAAATTATTGCCTTAATCTCTGGTAGAGTTATCTTTAGTCATTAATTAACTTCCATTATTCAAGCTTGATTCTACATTTAAATCAGATTAAAAGACCGCTTTCTTAAGCGATGAATCTCTATTTATCGCCTATTTTTAATTTTGTTGTTGTTTATCTTCGTTTTTACATTTCTTGCCATTTAAACTAACATCAGAAACTCTATCTGATTTTAGCTTTAGCTTACTTTCAGATACCGTACTCTCATTTTATACTAAATTTTGTTTATATATGCAATAAATACCAACTAGATCTTCAAGATCCTTTACAGATAGAGAATTAACAGGTTGAGCCTTTTCTAATTCTTGGATACCCATCATAATCGAAGCTTTGACCACTCTAGACCATTGAGTTTCACTAAAATTCTTCAAGAATTCTCTGATCTTTCTGCTAGCTATAAGCTAGGTTTCCAAATCGTTCATCATTTTTGAGATATTTAAATTTAAATTCTAAACTGACTTTGGCTTTGAATTTTATTATGGAGGGGTTTTGGGGTTTTGGGGTTTTGGGG